CAATAAAGGCACGAAGTGACTGGCTTACAAGGTTTCAAGAGGGAGTTTAGTTAAAGAGTATGGGGTGGGGGGTGGGGGGAAGAAAGAGTCCCCACTGAATAGTGATCATCTTGTCTAGATGGGTCTGGTGAAAGGAGATGGGGATAAGATTCATAAGATTCAATAGTGGATAACTGTTATCATGACTAATCGCGACTGTCACACTTGTAAAGGTAGAAGAAAAAAAAAATCAATGTCACAAAAAAAAAATGGTTATGCACCTCAATAAAAAATATTTTTTAAGAGTATAAAATAGTATTTTAATATAGCCCTGTGTGTGTTTGTGTGTGTGTAAAGGAAAATGAGGAGCAAGCATATTAGAATTGTTTCCGTGGGTTATCTTCTGATTGGTGGGACTTTTAGGGATTTTTATTATCTTCTGATCTATCATTTATACTTTCTAAACATTCTGTAGGGCTCATGTATTAATTTGTGGAAGGGAAAAAAAGGTTAGACAGAAGAAACAGTGAATGAGAATGGGAAGTGTATCCAGGAGGTCACAAAGCTGGGGATAGGTGCAGAGTTACCTGAGCTGGGCAGGAAACACTGCAATTGAACTGCATGGTACAGAGCATTCTTAGATTAGAGGTTCTTAAACTGGAATGCCTGCTATTGCTCTTTGTGGTTGTGTGTATGTACAATCTCCTGGGAAGAGGGCCTAAGCATCAATCAGATTCCCCCAGCTGTGACCCTCCACTGTTTGAATATTAAAATCTTGATTTAGAGACAGAAAGGAACTCCAAGGGAGACCATCATTGTTCAGAGCAGAGAGTCCCATAGCATGAGAATGGGTACCCTTCCCTCAATCTTGAGGATGCACTCCCGGATCAGAACATTAGTATGGTTCTAGGGTGTAGAAGTCTCAGGCAGGTGTCAGTCAGCTTTACATTGATTTTCACATCGAGCCAAGAGAGGAAACAAAAGTCATGTGTTAGAGAAGAAACAAAAGTCATGTGTTTTCTTCTCTGAATCTCTCTGGACCATTCTCTTTGGCCTCCTAGTACTTGGGATAACTGTGTCATCGCCTACTCTGGCTGGTGAAATTGTGGTGGTCCCACCTGAGAGAAGATCCTGGAGCTAAACTGAGAGCTTCTTCTTCTGGCTGAAGGAAAATGAAAATGGCACAGAGCCTTGCTCCTATCATCCCTGCTCTAGAGAATATAGAGAAAAGGTGGTCACTATTCATGGCCAGGATGTGCCTTTAAGAGGGAACAGCCTTGCTAGTTACCAGGAAGTGGAGAGGTAGGGTGAGGGGAGGGAGGGGAAGGTGGAGCACAGGGTAGGGAATAGACACAGGATAGTTTGGGTGCTAGGGGGTGTGTGGCAATACACAAGAAGGGGGAGGGGAATGGAAGAACAAGGCAGATGGGAGAACAGCTGGGCAGGTTTGCATGGGCTAAGTGGGACAGATGTAAATAATGATGTATGCACAACCCTGGAACAACAGGGCTCTGGGATACAGGGATTGAGGCATGGTTTGAATGGGTAAAAGGGGGGAAATAATGTTAAGATGCATAGATACTTGAGGAGGAGAGAAGAGAATAGCCAGAAATATCACCATAGAAAGCTTGTGAGTCCATCTTCTGCCTATAATTGACTGGAATACCTAAAATGGGGATACAACATGCCTAGTGAAGGAGACTTCCTGCAGAGCCTCTGTATTGCATAAGACCATAGGTGGAATCCTGAACCCCATCCAGAATCTTCTGAGGTGGGAAATCTCCACTTGAAAAGACAAGCAGACCAGCCTAGAGTGGCTAGAAGAACAGAAGATACTTCTTGAAAGAAAGAC